CAGTGACTACACTCTGGGTCCTGTTCTCCAAACCCAGTGGCCTTTCACCCCCAGCTTTCTAACTTAGATGCCTGGGATAGATACCCATACCCGTACAGGGACCCCAGGACTTGGCAGCCCTGAGCAGCATGTTTGAAGTCCATTGCTTCTTCTACCTCTTTTAGCCATCTTATACCTCATTAGCAGCAAAACCAGGAGAGGGGCTGGAGAAACATAGAGGAGTTGACATGCAACCAGGCCACTTTATTCTAGTGATGTGCCTCCCATACAAGATAGGCAGGCTCTCATCATCTAAGAGCTCCCAGGCCTAACATGGAAGATTTAAGCAGCCCAAGGGGTCAGGAGCTGCAGAATTTCAGATCACTAGGTGTCAGGAAGGAGCCTTTGCTACTAATTTTCATAAGCTCTGGACTGCACATGGTATTTCTCGTCTTTTGAGTGCTAACAGACACAGTGTTGGCCCATCAAGACGAGGCTAACAAGCCCGCAAAGCTAGAGAACACTGAGGCTGCATCAGAACCAAAGTCCCTCCAAAGTCACAAAGGCACAAAGGAAACAAGCCTTGCCAGACAAGTTAGCAAACTCCCATAAATACTTGGGCTGGGGTAGTGGTGGTTATGTGAAATGCTTCCCCATTGAGAGATGCTGCTTTATTTACATTCTTCACAACCCATTCATAAAAAGGAGGCCCTTTAATGTTGGGACTGTTCATATAATGCTCCATAAACTCGGCAGCTTTGGCTGGCAGCGTTAGTTCAACACAGGCTACTTTCAGCTCTGGGGATTTTTTACCCCCTTTGGATTTTTCCTCCTCCTTAATGACTCACCTTGCGACAGGGCACTAAGGCCAGATGTTGCCTGAGAAAGGCCAAGAGGAACAAAAGTAGATAAAATGAAATCATCTTAGATGCTGCGATGGGGAGGTGGGGAGAAAGGAAAATAATCAGCCAATTTTCACTGAACTCCAATTTCAGGTAGATATGCTAGGTTGAATTTCTTTCAGGTCTACTGAAATTTCCTTCTTGACTGCTACCCAATTCATGCCTCTAAACACTGAAGCGTAAGGAGGCACTTCCTCTATCTCTACACAAGAGAGAAGAGCTCTTTCTGGATTGTAATTTGCATCATAGATGAATAAATTAAAAGGTTGTTTCCTCTTCTGATGGTTCTAGAGCTGCTGGCTCCAAGAGGGGCAATTTGCTCAAGGTGAAGAAACTCAGGCAATGTCCCTGAAGAGGGAAAAGACTGTGTTTCAGGATGCACGCTACTGACAGTGCAGGCAGAGGAGAGTGCTCAGGAGAGGCTTTCTGAGGTGGTTTTTCTGTTACAGTAAGAGAGAAGTAGGATTTTTTTTCTTAATTGAAGGGGGAGAGGTCTACATTGCCATGGCAACTGTAAGGGTGGCCTTCCTGATTGGAAGGTAAATGCTGGTTCATTAATCATCAAACTGGGGCACAATTGAAAGGTTTGGGGGAAAGAGGATGGGTGCAGGAGGTATGTCTCTTCACCACCTCACACCAAACCAGTCATCAGTCTTTTTTCCTATGTCCCCCATGGTCTAGGCTTGATCGTCAATACACCAACTTCTAAGACAGTTGAGAATGATGGCATTTCTTCCCCGAAAGCTCCACCTTGGGACAGACATAGCCCCTAAAGTCAGTAAAAACACTTATAAAAGGAACCCTACAGATCCCATCCACAGGACTGACCCAGGTTTAGTTTTCTTCTCTGTTCGCTGAATCATGTTTTCTCCCTCATTGACACCCAGATGAGAAGAAGTAAAGCATATGGATTCATGTAATATGGACAAGTAAATTGCAAACACACAGCAAAGCTGGGTACAGAAAAAGAATGGTCCAGTGGGGACAGGAGGAGAACAGGATCACAGCCCCTTTCCAACTCATGTCTGCGTGGTGTTATGTGAACCATCTATAGGGCTGACTCTTCAGCAGCAGATGGATCAGGAACAGCAGTTAACATGCCCATGGCCAGAGCCTCACAAACATGCCCTATCTATACACCTTTCACAGAAAAGGTCAGATCTCCAAGGACTGAATCCATACTGAGCATTCCTAGAAGAGCCAAAGGCTCCCCTCCATCCCCACTGAATTCCACATCATACAACACTGAGAGGAAGATTAGACTACACACAGACACACACGTTTAACTCATTACTCCAATCCATAAGAACCTACCAATCCACATTTGAGAAGGTACCATGTTAGATAATCCATTTTCACAAGCTCACTGGCCAGAATGATGGCAAGACGATGGATGAGTGGGAGAGTAAGAAGGGCAGGAGCTGAGAGCAAAGGGCACAAAAGTGCTCAGCAGGAGAGCAAAGAGCCTTAGGGACACACTGTCTGGGGTCAGACTGCAGGAAAAAGAAGCCAGCAGAACGTAGTGAGTAAGAAACTGACTTGTAGAAGGAGTGCTTTGGGAGAAAGATCTGGTAGCTGTGTACAGACTAGATTAGAAGAGCCAGAGGAGGCAGGAGGAAAATGACATGGGAACATAGCAACAGAAAGGGAGGGAAGAGGGAGACACCAAAAAGAACAAACTAACACCAGCAATGGTAGTGCACACCAGGAGGTAGGTTTTCAAGTCCCAGGCTAGCCTCGGTTCTAGAGTGATAAGAGATACAGGAGAGAAACAAGGGAGGACAGGGACAGAAAGAAATGGAGAGTGAAGACATATCTCATGAATGGCTCAACTCCCCAGGGTCAGCTGTCCCAAACACTGATCTGACAGACAAGCATCTCCTGCCAGGTTAAACCCCTGCCACAGAGGGAAATGTTATTTTGGCAATTCCCACCTTCCAGCAGCCAAACCAGGTCACCCTTCTGACTGCCACCAAAAGAAATCACATACAGGGGAGCCCCAGCAAAAGAAGAGATTCTCCAGCCTTCTCTGGATTTTAGACATACAATTAAACTCTCTGAAACAAACTTCAGTCTCTTCTGTGAAGTAATAACCCCCCCTTTCCCTACAAGCCTCAACTCCACCCAAGCTGTGGTCCAGACTCTTCCGGGGAGAGAGATGGGGTGCTAAGAATGAACTCCACACCCTGCTGTTCCTGCTCCTCTGGCAGACAGCAGCTTTCTCAAGGTGGGCTTAGAGCCAAACAGCCGAGTACTGCTCTTGACCAGTCCCACTGGTGTGCCACTCCAACCCAGATTTTTCTCAGCGAAAGGCCATGTTCTCAGCTGTTATCAGCCTGAGTCTCCTCTCTTCCTGTTCCCAACCTAATCACATGAGGAGGGGCACGGGAGCTGAGTGAATTTTCTCAACCGGGTAAACAGCATACAGCCTAGAGCTGCTCACCGCTGGGGTTAGCAGTACACTGGGAGCTTAAACCAGAGATTCCAAAGTGTCCGAGGACAGTGGTGTCTCCGAGACATGTGGTCCCTATGACGCTCTTTCCTTTTTGGTAGAAAATTATGGAGGTGTAGAAGATGGGGAGAAATGTGTCAGGTGGTACAAAAGAAAGCTGGAAACCTTAGTTTATGTCATCATCAAATTTCTGCCTCGATTTTATGGACTCAGCTCATCATGTCCCTATGTGGGTACCTTCTTGCCCAAGGAAAACTGCTGCAGCAATAGTGAAGGCATCGCCAAGCACAGTGGGTGTGTATGTGTTGGGGGGTGGGGTCCCTTAGTCCCAATCCAAGTAGCCGTCTGTGCTCTTAAAACTGCCGACAATGGGCCACTAGGAGACATCCCAGGTGGAGTTAAACCTCTACCGATAGGCAGACTTGCTGAAAGCCTCTCACTGCTAGCAGGCTCCGCTCGCCTCTGTGAGTCCACCAGTCCATTTGCCACCGGCCAGGGCACTCGGTGCGCACACCCCCCAACCCTGCCCCTCCGCCTTGGCTAAGTCGACCCCACTCTTCCCGGAGCTGCGAGGATATCTGCGGCTACAGCCCAGAGCCAGTGCCGCAGCTCCTCCCGGTGGACGCCCCGGCCCCCGCAGTCCCCAGGGCAGAGTCCGGCCCCGTGCCCGCCCCTTGGGGTGGGTGCCCCGGACTCGCTCCCCTCCCCGATACCACTACCTGCGCCCGCTCGGGCGCCGCCTTTGTCCGGCTCTTCACCGCCGAGCGGGCCCCTTGGGCCCGACCTGACCCGGCCCCCGGCCCCAGAGGAGAGGCGGCGGGACTGGCAGGGCACAACCAGGCCGGGCCTGGAGCACCGGGTCCTGCTGTCACTTGGAGGCGGTCTGACAACTTCGATTGCCCCCGCCCCACCTCGGACTCGGCCGCCGCCCCGCACGGTCCCCACAGGGCCTCCCGCGGCCCACACTCGCTGTTCGAACCGGTCCCCTTCCGTCTTCGGCGCCTCCCTTCCTTCAGCCCGACCCGATCGGGTCCACACTACCCCTTGCCCTGATGCGGCCCCCATCCCCACCCCCCCTCCGGCAATTGTCGGTCAGCTCCCAACCCCGGAGGGCGCCCCCCACCCCGAGAGGGCGCTCCCGCGGCGACGCCCCCAGCCGCGGCCCCTAGCCTCGGGGACCACGATGGGGGAGGGGGCTTGGCGGGGGCCTTGCCGCCCGCGCACTCGGAGGCGAGCCGGCTCCGCCGCGGCGAGGAAGCACCCCGCGTCCTCCCGCCCTCCGTAGCCCGGGACGCCCGCGCCGCCGCCGCCCGGCCAAGCTGCCACCCTGCGGCCGCCACCCACCCCGCCCCCGGCCTGCGAGGCGGGCGCCCCCCGGGGGCTGTCACCTCGAGGCGCGCAGTGCTCCCCGATGGCGGGACCGCAGCGCCGGACCCGGGGGAGGGAGGAGGCGCGCGCGGGCGGGCAAGCAGCCGCACCTGCTTCTTGTCGTCCGTCCGTCCCTTCCCGGGGCCGGCGGGGGCGGCGGCGCGGCGCGCTCGGCGGGGCGCGCTGACGGGCGGCCGGTCCTCTCCCTTTTGCTAGTCCGCCTACCTAGCTCGCTCGCTCGCTCGCTCTCGCTCGTTCGCCCTCCCCTTCCCCCTCCTGGATCCCGGCTCCTAGCTCACCGGGACGAACGGCGCGGACGGCGCGGCTTTGGGCGCCCGCAGGCCCTGGCCGGGCTGGAATCCGGCGGCTGGAACCCCCCGGGGGCGCTCAATTCCCGGGCTCCACGCTGCTGCGTCAGCGCCTCCTCCTGGGGGCCGGGGCCGGGCGGGCGGAGCGGGGGCCGCGGTCGGGCGGGGCCGTCGGGGGGGGGGGGCGGGCGCGCCTGGCCGGGGCGGGCAGACGACTAGGGCCGGACGGGCGGGGCAGGCGGCCGGACGGGCGAGCAGCGGGGGCCGGGCTCCGGGATCCGCTACGCCGCTCGCGGTTCCCCCACAAACTCCCCGAGAGCGGAGCCTCCGCCGCCCTCCTTCCTGCTTCCTCGTCCCCAGCCAATCAGCGGCGCGCCCCTCGGCAAGCTCCGCCAATCAGCCGCCCCGCCCTGCGCTGGCCCCGCCAGCCAATCCGGCCCTCGGCTCCCCCTCCCGGTCTCCGACCAATCAGAATCGTGGGTCGGTCGTCCCGACGCAGGGGGCAGCACGAGGCGGCCGGGGGAGGCGGTGCGGGGAGTGGTGGGGCCTGGGGGGAGGGGTACGGTGCCAAGGGTGGTGGCGGGGGATGAATTTCTTTGCCGGCTTCTTGTATTTTCTCCTGGTCTTTGGAGACTGAGCCAGTATCCCATGGTGACCTGACCCTGAAGCCCCAGCACCTCACTGCAGACCCCCACCCTGAAAAATCTTAGCGCGCCCCCGCCCTGACCATCACCCTTCTACATCCCTCTTCCCTCGTAACCTCTCCAGCACCCGCTACAGTAAACTGAGGGCCGAGAGGACACCCCACCCTCCTCAGGCTGCTGCCCCCATGGCAAAGCTTCGGGAAGACCAACCGAAAAATTCAAGCAAGAACAACACCCCCTTTCCTCCTGAAAGGGCCCCAGACTCGCGCGAAAGGGCCCCGACTGCTGAGAAGCCCCTCCCGCCCTTGCCTCATCTTTCCGACTTCCCTGCTTGCCACGTCTCCTTTCCTTCCTAGCAAGGTCGGTCCTGACTCGGTAACCCCTCACCCGCATCTCTTTTTCCTCTTTTTGCCCTTCACCTACCGCCCCCCACCCCAGATCCCAATTCGCCCTCTTTCAGAAGCCAAGTGTGGAACCCTCATCCATTTCTAGCTGACAGCAGAGCCTGGTCTGTGAGTCCTTGACACCCACACACCCTCTTCCACCACCGCGGGGAACATCAGAGCTCTCTGGGGGAGAGGGAAAGGGGCGGGCAGCCCAACAAGCGCGGCTGGACACACTCCTTCGCGTCCCCAAGCCAGGGTAGAACCAGTGCAGACACTTACCTAGCTTCCCCATAGTCACCTTATGCTGTGGCTCTGTCTCTCACACCCACAGACGTGCTTTTCCAAGCCTGAGCACGCTCTCGGGGTCAGCTGGGTGGGTGGGCACAGCAGGCTGAGGTCATACGAAGGGGTGGGAAGTCCCTGGGAGGTGCGGGAAGGGGCTGTGTCCTGGACACCTTGTAGCGCCAGAGCCAGCCCAGGACTTCACTTCAAGGAGCCGTAATGTGCACACAGTAGGTTCTTGAGAAATACCGAGTCCACCCCTGAACAAAGCCTCATTCCCAATTCAGGCGGGGGAGGGGCGCTTTGGGAGGTAAAGGAGCAGGAGCAGAAAGGGTAGTGTCAAGTCACCCGAGCCTGGGAGCAGCCGGGGAGGGGCTGGGCCCTGGAACGCCTAGGGCAGAGAAGCGCCCAGAGTGCTGAGGAAGCCTGGTTAGTAAGCAGGAAAAACCGAGCCTTGGAGAGTGGCTTAGGGGCGCCTCCTGCACTCTATGCAGTTCCCCACCTTTCCTAGACCGTGCTACTGACGCACTGACCCGGGCAGCTTTTAAGGTAACTAGGGCTGCCAGCCTCTGTGGCTGGGCAATAGCCTTCCCTCGGGGAGGCGGGGGTGGTGGTGGTGGTGGTGAGAGAGATAGAGAGACAGAGACAGAGAGAGAGAGAGAGAGACAGGGGGTGGAATGGGACAAGTCATTTGCCTCCAGAACTGTCCCGGGGTCTCCCAGACTACCTAGCTAGTCTACAGGACGTGGTTTACCAAGGCCGTGCTAAAATCGTGGCTCACCAACTTCTCAAGGGACCAAATTCTCTTAGTACCTCTGTCCTTCTACTTTCCATCCTTAGGGCAGGCAAAATCCCAAACATCAGAAAGTAGGACACTGAAGGACTTCTCCCTTCACTGAGCCTCCAAAGGCAAAGGTACTCTGCGGTGCTCCCCAACACACACAGGCCAGCTATACTTTGCATCTCACAAAATTAGCTCCTCTCCTCAGCCAAGCCCATTACCGTGCCTCACAGTGGACCCCAGTCCATATCAAATTGGGAGTAGAGGGTACTTCTGGCCCCTTAAGTGAATAAGGTAGGGGAGCAGACACTCTGGTGATGGGGGGCGGGAGGAGGGTGAGAATGTGAGGATCAAGAAAAAAACAACTGGTCACAGGGAAAGAAACTCAAGTGGCAGCCCACCTTTAGCCTGGGAACTGATAGAGCAAGATTGCTGGGATGGGCTTCTCCCTGGCACCTTCAGGTAAAACCCCTGTGGTCCTGCTACCAGACGAAGTTGACTTATTTGGGACTCAGGTGGAAGGGAAGAGAGAATCCTGATGGTGGAGGACCCAGGAACTACTTAGATTGCCCAGCCTGCTCAATAGCCAAAGGAACTCTGTCCTCAGAGCTTCCCCTGTGGGTGGCTGGCTCATTTGCCCCAGAAGGCTCTGGCTTATAGCTGGGGGTGGGGTCTGGAGGGAGGAGTACAGGCTTTCTAAAGGCACTCGATGTTCCTCCTTTAGCAGCCCAGTGATCTCCTGGGTCCCCCCTCTCTTGCTTTTTAATGCTGGTCCACAAGCCACCCAAGAGGAGGCCAGGGTTTTAGACAGGCTGCTTGTACCCCAAAGGGAGTTTTTGGCCTCCTGTCCTCTTTCACTCCATTTTCAGGAACCCCTGCATCTGGACCATCCTCCTTCCCAATCCAGACACTTTCCTGTTGTAGAAATATTTAATCTCAATTCGGAGTCTCTACCCCGCCTTTGACCATTAAATTCCGGGATAAAAGACCCCCCTTCCCCCACCGTCTCTCTCTCTCTCTCTCTCTCTCTCTCTCTCTCTCTCTCTCTCTCTCTCTCACACACACACACACACACACACACACACAACCTTTATCTTTATAATAAGGCTTAATCAGCACATCTGGAAAAGGCTCCCATAGTGTCTTCCTCAGTGCATGCAGCTCCCATCCCACTCCACCAGAACAGCTGTGCCAGTGCCTGGGGGCTGTCACCTTTCCTCTCTCTCGCCAAAAAAGGGTTTGTCACTTGATCTAGAAATGGATGGGTTTATCAGGTCTCCACGACTATCCCCTTCAGCAGAAGCTTGCTCTCTTTACCTAGGCACCTCCAGTAAGGGTTAGCTCCCTCAGAGCAGGAGAGCCGAGAAAAGGAGATAGATGCCAGGAGGAGAACATCCAGGGCCAGAGAGAACATGCTGCACACCCTTCCCCCACCACGTACAACCAGACTGACAGCAGGGACAGACTCGCTGCTCTGTCATCCCCAGTTCAGCCGAGAGGCACCTCCTCCCACTGCTGCAGCAGCCCCAGCCTGCCCTGAGATCCAGCCACTGGCACGGGGCAGGGCACCCAAGCCTGCAACACAGCATCTGTGAAGGTGGCACCAACCACTTTCACCTGCCTCGATGTCATGCCCAGGTGTCTCCTTTCTGGGTGTAAACAGGCAGACCTCCCCTGTCTCACATCAGACCGTCCAAATTCCAGGTCCCAGAACACTGAGTAGCCTGGCCCCTAAGCCCCACTGGACGAGATGAAGGAATGAATGGCTCTCTTCTGGAGGGACTCCTTGTCATAGATTAAATTCATCGCCAATACTTGCCCCCTCCCCCATCAAAGGAAGCCCCCGGGGTGGGGAAATAAAGTTAGACTTTTATAGTCCTTTTGCTGGGACCTTGCTCACTCTTAAAGGGATCAGAACACCCCCCTCCTTAAAGGGACCTCCGGAAATTATTTGCCCCCAGGCAAAGCCAAGTGTAGAAGTCTGTTTTTTTTTGTTTTTTTTTTTAACCTACTGTGGCCTCTTTCCCTAGGGATGGGAAGGTCAGAAGTGCTTTCTTTGTAACTAAGCCGAAAGGATTGGGCTCCCTCCTGCCACCAAGGAGCCACTTGATGAGTACCCATCAAAGAGGAGGATCGGCTCTCTTCCCTAAAAGCCACAGGATGGGTCTGAGGGATCAGGGTGATGTAGGGGTCTGTGTGGAACCAGTCTTCACACAAGCCGCCAGCGCTTAGACTTTGGGGATCGCATTCCATGATGCTATGTCCCAACCCCCCATCTGTCCAGCGCTACCCTCCACTTTGCTAGCCCAGGGAAGTCTTTGCAGGCTGCCCCTCCCAGCGAAGCCGTTTCTGTATTCTCCTTCCCTTTGACACAAGACTTCGCCTCGTTGGGTCCCTTGTCCTTCCCCTTAAGAAGCATTCTCTACCCCACACGCGAGTTGCCTCCCTGCAGTGCCAACAACTGCTGCTTATACCTATTTCAGGCTCCTTCCTGCCCTAGTCGGCGTCCCTGGGGTCCGCCTGCACCCCCACCCGTCAAAAGGCTGGGGGATGGGCACACCTCCGCTCCCTAGAGCACAGCAAAGCAGCATCTTCTCTCCGCTGCTTACTAGGCACATAGGTTCATTCAGGCCTTAGGACTAGAAGGTTGGGGGGGGGGCATAAATGGCGGAGAGGGGCCCGAGGGCGCTTCAGCCGGAGAGGAATAGTCACAAGTCGCACTCACTAAAGCCACCTCGTCTGTATTCTCCCTTCGCCGGTGGAGGGTCGACACTGCTGGGAGAAGACTTTCCTGTCGCTTGGGAACCCGCCAAGGCCGCCCACCCTTGCCACTCTCAGGAGGAGACTCCCCCCAAGGGCTGGAGCAGTGAGCCCCCTCCCCCTCCCCCGTAGCCGCAGCAGCCTCCGGCTAAGGTCAGGCTCCACCTCCTTTCTCCGGATGGAGAGCGCAGAGGGTTGTTTGTTGTTGGGGTGTGTGAGGGAGAAGGTTCGAGATCACCTGGCTGGGTGGGCACACCTTTGGGAGTCGGAGCTGAGCCGGG